GGGGGGGGGGGGGTGGCAAAACCTAGATAGAAGCTAACGTGGTTTATCTAAAGAAGAAAGTTAAGAGGCCGGGGTCATGCTCACCACTGTTGACATTTAAACAAAAAACAACATAAAATGCAAGACTGAACATTTGAGGTATCTCAGGACTAAACGAATTCTCTTGCCAATTATCTTGTAAACTAAAATAAATTCAAGATATGTTCCTTTGACTTTTTGGTTAAATTTAGTCTTAATGAAGTCAACGGAATTTCTTGTTGTAATAACATCTTAGTAGAGCTTCACCTAAAAGTACTGATACTCATATTAATATATCCCGCTCGCCATCGTTAGCAATCTCAGTTGATTCATAGTGGATTTCTGTCATCTTTTGTTAATTAATGTTCAAGAATTGCTGTTGGGTCAGTCATGAAATCCTGGAAGATTTTTCTGTTTTCAACCTCTCACCTCAAGCTGTTCCAAGTCATCAATGAACCTCTTACTGACGGACACCAAAGCCTCTTGGGGCCACTCGTGGAACCAATCAATAGCCGTGCAGTTAGTGACAGCCGGGAACTTACGACTCCTCACACGCAGCGTGGAACCCACGGGAGAGAAGCACAGGACAACCTGTCAGCGGTAACAAAATAAATAGTCGCTATTACGTATAGGTTAATCGTGCTGTGCCCTTTCGATACTCAGAAATAATGCTTTTGTAGCTCCATCAGAAACTGTATCGCTTATGGTAATGAGGCAAATATTGTAAACAAAGATTCTCCTATTACATTTCTCATCAGCGAACATGTATCTCTTACGAAAATTCCGTCAAATCGATGCTGGAGTTAAGTTTGTTTACCTTCAAATTTCGTCGCACTCGTTCAATGAAGAACATCCAGCAATTCTCTCTTGTGTCTTGAAGTCCAGCACCTTTCACTTCATTTCTGACTCCGGAGATAATATTCTCAACTTCATCATCAGCGAACAGACCTGGGATCTCACCAGAAGCCAGCAGATCGTTGATCAAAACAAGGAAACTCTCTTCTGGAACTTGCGCGTCCGTCAACAGGAACACAGTGCCGATGTTTTTCAGCCCTGCCTTGGTGCACAGGTTTGCTAAGTCAAGCTGGATAGATGAGAAAAAATGTCCATTGATAATTCAGCACAATTGGCATGCGTGTATTTTTTTTTTTCGCACAGTCATATCTATGAAGACATCATTGATCATCGCAGTTATACACACAACTTAGGCAGTTGTCAAATTAAAGCCTGAAAAAAGAAAATTCAGGCCTGAACGGGATTCGAACAAATGACATCTGCGATACTAGTGCAGTGCTCTACCAACAGAGCTATCAAGTCAACTGGGAGCCGGTCACTTTGTGAGTTTGTATAAATATACCCGTAGACGATGAAGATACTGCGAAGGAAGATATGAAGGCATGATTGATCATCGCATCTCTATTACACACCTTCAGGTCTGGGATGCTGTATCCTTTCCTCAGCGTAATCTGAAACACTTCCAAAGCACTGATGAAGGCGGCCAGACGAGCTAAACTCTGTTTACCGCTACCACCAACACCCACTAACAAGGCGTTACCACGAGGAGATTCCAGAATACGGTTGATACGACAACTGCAAAACACCACATACATAAAAAATTAAGCCACAAAATATATTTGCTTAATTTGGATGTATTCTCTTGATGTTTCTACCATCGGACCAGAATCGCCATAGAACACGAAGCAAAAGAAAAATGTCGCCGAAGGAAAGAGCGGGAAACCACGAGCGGAAAAGAGCGAGAAACAGGTAACTGAAGGAAAGCCCAGGAAAAACGCAACGATGAAAAGCGCGGGAAAATACGTCGTCAATGGAAACAGCGTCAAAGCAGGGTCGCGAAAGCTTTATTGGAAGGAACCGGTTGGGATGACCGTTAAATAGTGGTAAGGGTTTTTCCAAAATCAGCAAACCAACCGAGATAGATGGCGCTTATCATTTACAATTGACTTTGACTATTGACTAAAACTGGGGAATTGAGCAAATGGCAAGGATATTGCCGTCTTTCCCTTGCGAACGGGGAAAGGAGAGTACCTTTTTGAGAAGTCCACAATTTTTGAACGGGATTTCTGTTCCAGTTGCTTTTTAGTCGAAATTTCCAGAATTGTTTTGTTAGGTCCCCAGAGTAAAATCACGATTGCTTTAAATTTTGCATCTGATTGGCCACACCACGTTACGAGAGTATTTTTCAAACCAATCTTTGAGAAAGTAATTGGAAACGTTTCACTCACACATGCTGCATAGCGTCATCGAACAACACAAGGTTCATAACCGCGTTCACTTCATTGTAGTTTTCCAGTGCCTCGACGAGTAGTTTGTTCAGCGACTCCCAGCCTTGGACTGCCAAGTACTTCGGCTCTCCAATTCCACTCGCAAAATGACAGAACATGTTAGGCTTGGCGTACAAAGCTTCTTCGTCAAAGTCCTACGTGAAACAAGAAAAATTTCGGTTGCTATAACGGGCAGCACTGGCAGTCGTTGGATACAAAGTCTGAAAACCTGACTAAAGTTATCAGTACAGTTAGTTAAAATATGGCAAAGATATTTACAAAAAATATCAAACACTGAGAACATTTCATTTCATAAACATCTTTTCCATTCAAGAATAATCAAATTATCAATGTTTCACCGCACGAAAATAGAGCAAGACAAACCTCGAATATCTTCTTGGTGATGTCTTGTTGTATTCTGTCATAGTTCTCCATGTCTTTCTCTTCTATAAGTTTGTCTCTGTAAACACGATCACACTCGTGCATCCACAACCTCACAAGATCCATCGGCGTCTTTACACATTCGGCTGAAGAAAATAGGATTCCCTACAAAGAAAAAAAAAATCATCACTAAAGACCATGTAAAACGCACATACTTGAAAAAAAGTCATTTGTGTTATTTACTCGAGTAACAAGCGTAATGTTTCGGGGTTTGAGTAAACAAAAGTCTACTTTCCCCGTCAAGCGAGGGAACAATTAAGCGCAAAGACGTTTTGATTCGTTTTTTCTGATGAAAGCATAAATGTGAGCAATGGCGATGTTGGGTTGTCATGAGAGCTAAAACCAACGCAAATAGGATAGGTCATTTCTTGAACGTAAACATATACAAAACAATCATAAGTTCAGTTATCAAATAGCCTAAGATTGGCTACATTTGCCACACTAGAGTTTCATACAAACTAGATTAATTAAAGGCAAACCTGAAAGATGTTGGACAAGTCTCGTAAGTTGAAAACGTAGTGAAACTTGACAGCAGTAGGCAAGAAAGTTGAAGTGACCTGTATTGAGATTCGGAAAAAAAAGAAATAACTTTGTTATCGTTTGTTTCAACAACAGACATATTGGTGGCTACAACTTCGTTTATTTGGCCATAACCTTAATGTATGGCACCGTATAGCCTAGAATGAGTTTGAAATACAGGCAAACTGTTGTCCTTTACGTTCGTGAAAATCGCGAAACATTTTGCCCATTTCCGGGTGTTTTTCAAAGTCTCACAAGCAGTAAAAGGAACATCTAAGTCCTGATATAGACAGATATTCTCCTTACAAGACAAAACACGTCTGTTATGGCACAAGGTTAGAAGAATTTTACTGCTTCTGACCAATATTTCTCCTTGGTTACAAGTCGAAAAGCGCTAGATGAAACAAAGGCGCACCTTCTGGTTCATGGCTACAGCTGCATCAACAAGTTTCTCAGAATTCTTCTGCACTGCTTGTGGTAAGCCTGCAGCGTTTATGTGTCCATTTAAGATGTTCAGGTAGATAGTCTTCAGGGCATCCAGTCCCGGGAAGCTGATGGCAAATACTGCAAAGTGGCGTTGCAGTCGAGGGTTGATAGTGAAGCTACCAGCCGTGGGATTCATACAAGCAACATATTGGCAGTTGTGAACCTCTTTAAGCGACAGCTTAGCTCTGTCGTACCAATGGTTGTAATCCAAATGCTGTCTTATGAGAGTGTGAGGCTGTACTGTGCCATAGGTGTCAACCTGGATTGAGAAAAACAAAAAGTAACGTGGTATACATAGCCAATTAATACTCAAAGCAGTGGAAGAGTGGGACACAATGTAACCAATGATAAACGCACGAGAACACGTAACCAATGAAAAGAGCGGAACTGTTGCAAAGCGCGGGATTCCAGTCACGTGAGACAACTGAGTTTTTATTTTGTATTTGATTGGCCAACAAATACCTTCGTCACACTGATTGGTTAACGTTAAAAAGCTAATTACACTTGTATAAATATGTAAAACTTGCATGAAGAAACAAAGAGACATAATTATTTTCAAAAGACATTGTCTAGTCAATCTGGTCTTCTGGAAACCTAATCAGAACCACTTTTTTTGGGACGTTATTATGTTTTATTTCTTTTAATTTCCTATATTTTGGGAGCGTTTTTAAAGTTATTCCACTCGCGCTTGTTGGATATGTGATGGTTATAACCAACTCGGCGCTATGCACCTCATTGGCTATCAACCATCTCATATCCAACGCGCGGTCATATAATAATTGTTAATTATGCAAGACTAATTAAGTAGATAAATCCAAAGCAGACTCTATCACATAGAAGCACGTACCATGGGCATGTTCATGTCGTCGATAAAATAGATCAGTTTTTTCGTTCCAGGCGGTCCGTAGTTTCGACCAGCTTTCTTCTCCAGCGGTTTATCCAGCACGGATTGCAACATAGCGGATGTTGTGTAGTAGTTGAAAGGCACGTTTGTCACGATCACGTTATCTGGATCCATTGCTGCAAACTTATCGCCAACCAACACGGTCTTGCCCGTGCCTGCGCTGCCCACGAGCATGATGGGTCTGCGGTTTTCCATCAAGAGATCCATGAAGTACCGCACTCGAATGGTTTCCTGAGTGTGCACGAGCACGGCCTGGAACAAGAAGGACTGGTCACAATTTTGAAATTATTTGTGCGGTTAGTTTTTAGTTCGAGGCAGTTTACTTTAATAGTTCCGAGTCTGATAAGAGTAATTACAGTCCATCCTTACCGTTCAATTTAAGATTCAAACTTTGGTTGAAAATGTTTTGACATTTTGTTGGTTTTGCGTGACGACTCTATATTTCCCAGCATGATTAAGGAAGAAACACCTAACATACGCTTGAAAACACCAAAACATAACAAGATCTCTAAAGCATTAACTTCATAATGGGGGTTTGCATGCCATTTTAAGCTTGTCGCATTCACGACAAACTCCTAAAGGAAAAAATATTAAACATCAAACCTGCAATGGCATCTCAGAATCCAGCTCGAACTTGGGAACTTTCTCTGTCCACGGCACAAATTTCTTGGTTTCCGAGTCAATGAAGTAATCAAACACAGTACCAGCCGAGGGAAACTTGATGGTCTTAAATTCAGTCACCCACCACTTGGAGAATTCCACTCGGTAGTCAACAAGCTGAATGATAAAAGAGAGAACATTAGGCACACGCTTGATGAGTTTTTGGCAGGGGAAAAGTATCGTTTTTGGCAAATTGCCGTAGGGGAAAAAATGTTTCTGACTCTTTTTTTTATTTGTGTCAGTGATTCCTCATCGTGTCAGCTTATTTGGGTCTACAAATCCAGCAATTGTCTAGCATTCCGTACGCCAAAACGAATTCGTTTATAGTTAGCATACGCCATACAAAACTTTATAGAGTAACGAAACCAGTATGGAAAGTTTTGGATGGAATCTCAAACGTCTTTCCTGAGCAGGAGATGAATTTTCCCAAGCTAAGAGAGACATGTTCACGGCTGCACTAATACACACCTGATCCTGAAACATGGCTCCACCAAAGGCCCACACAGCAGCGAACACGAAGTACAACTCATACAGCTCTTTGTTACAGTCAGGTGGAGTGTTGGTAGGGTTCAACAGACACTCCAGGAGGTAGCACAGCGTGGTTACCATGGTGATGTCGGGAACAGGCGTGATTTTCTTAAAGCGCACGCGCAGCGTGTCTAGGCAGATGGGAACGTACTTGTCAAACAGGATTTGCAAGTTAGCTTTCTCTGACTGAACTTCGCGTGTGTCAATCCAACTTGATACATACGGATTCCATCCAACATCAGCGTAGTTGAGGAAGAGAATTCCGGCACGGGACACAGTAGCGGGAGTGGCAGTCTTCAAATGGCCGATCTCGAACAAGAGCCTCATTGATGGAGTGAGGGGAACACGTTCATTACTGGCCAGTGTGAGGACCTAGAGAAAAAGGCATTTTCATTAATCCCTGAAATTTAGTCACAGCCTTGTAAGTAATTCTCCCAAAACTTCCGTTAACCTCTGATGGCCAAATACTTTCTCAGTATAAAAGGCACCAAAGTAAACTTTCTACAGTCGCTTTCAAAAGAAAACCATGTCAATTAGAAAATGAATGCATGTATTTTACAGAAAAATCTCGCGATTCTCTAGATCAGTTCAACTGTCCCATCAGCGTCAGAACCATTTACCAGCTACAAAGACAGCATCTTTTCCCTTCAAACATTCTCTTCCATGCTTTAAATTCTACATAAAACCCAGAATTTGGTTACTCGTCGTTGTTTTACAGAGGGCGGCTAAGAAGCTTTCAAAGCGAAACAAAACACGTGCAAAACCCCTAAAGCATTTGGTTACCTTGTTGTCATCCATCACGGTGTTGAGTGACTCAATCCACATAGGATCAATATCTCCGTCAAGCACAATCCATTTAGGACTGTCATTGTTGATTGATGCCAGATCACGCATAATGGTGGAAAACAAACCTGGAAGAAAAAGTTATACTGTCTAGCTCCTTCAATAGGCAAAAAGATATGACCCTTTTCTGGTCTAAAGTTATGCGAATACAATCCCCCCAAGGAAAAACGACGGCGACTGGTACATTTACTTATAATTCTTAGCGCACGAAAACTGGAACAACGCTCATAAAGACGCACAGAAAGGTTCTAAAATCTTCAAACCTAGCATACATTATGTCGTTGGCACAGGGACATATATTGCAAAAATAAGGCTTTTCTTGTATGGGCTGTATAAGACTCGCACGGTATTGTGGTAAACTGATTTGCGGCTAAATACAGGATTTGCATCACACTAAAATGTTCTGAGGTTATCACTTTGGTTAGCATAAACAACACTCCAGTTAGCCTAAATATCACTTTGGTAAGCTTGAACAGTACTCCGGTTAGCCTGAGTAGCGTTTCTGTTAGCTTAAGTTAGCACTGACTTGGGAATGGTTGGCTCTTTAATAGGGTGCAATTCTTGTATTTAGCTGCAGGTGTAAAATGTACAGCCGCCATTTTTTTTCCTAAGAGGATTCGAAATACAACTTACCATCTTTCCATTCCCTGGTCGCCGGATTAATAAATCCGAACAGTTCATCAGCCGTCACAGCTTTAGGATTGATGTCATGTAGTAATGGCTTCCTCTTTTGGTTCTGGTAGGTCTTGTTCAGAGTTTTGATAACCTGTGTCTTACCCGTACCCGCGGGACCGAGAACGAACACAGAATGCCTCACAGCCAACAACTCCTCCAGCTGTACAATCTTGAGGATAAAGCTGTCTTCTGTTTGTAGTTTAAGATCCTGGAAAAAAAGAGAAACAAGAAAAAAATTAACATATTGAACTTAGCACTTAATTTAAGAATTGCTAAAGGGGCTACGTCACGGTTTGCGCATCTTAAAAAGTTTATCCTAAGCTCTTCAAATTCGTCGTTTGTAATCCGTTTGTAATCTTCTTCATCCCTAACCATCCTTGTTCCTTTATGGATTATTATTATTTCTTTAGTGGTTTTCTATCTTAGTAAACTATTATTTTCAGGTTTCCCTCAATGTAAAGGTAATTTTGTACGTGACCAAAGTAACTCAAAATACCGTGACTGGGCTCCGTAAAGTTAACGTTTTTTAAAATACACAAGCCGAATGAAAACAACAATACTTATCAGCTTGAGTCGCTGTGTTAATATGCCAAACTTTTAATACTAATTCATTCCTTTCTACACATTTTCACTTGCCAATAGAAATTGTTTACACCTTACCAGGGCAGACTTTTTCACAAGAGCTTCAAAGTCCATGTCACGCTTTCTTGGTACATCCAGAGCAGGGAAGAGATCACCGATCAATCCCATGAAGACAGGAACGTCATCCGTGACGATCTTAGGGATGTTAAAGTCACGCAATAACATGATTTCACAGATCAGTTCAAAGTCAGGAACCACCATAGCACATGGTCTGAAATACAAAATATACAAACAAAAAGTTAAAATTTCACTTCAGAGTAAAGCCAAAATTCTTCCAAAGGGAAGTGTGCAAAACGTATAAAACCACTCAAGAGAATTTTGATTTGGATCACTTACCGGAACAGAGCCTTGAGATTTTCAGGCAGTTCAGTTCTGCCGGCGTATCCAGGATTCATGGTGATAAAGAGACCAACAGTCGGTACCAACACGATCTCCTCTCCTTGGAAGATGAAGCGTTTCTTCTTATCTTTGATGGCATCCTGGATGGATTTCACTTGAACTGCGACCACGGACAGCACCTCTACTGAGATGCGGTTGAACTCATCAAAACAGCCCCAGGCTCCTGTCTGTGCCAGTCCTTTGTAAATGTTACCAATCGACTGAAAAGGGAAAGACGCGTTTTACGGTTAAAGAGATGTTTGAAACAACAAAAAATTACGTCTGCGTCATAGTCTATACCTTGTAGTCCATCTGTTCGGAGCAGTTAAACACATACACCATGATTCCAAGAGCTCGTCCCAGATCTTTGGTAGTTTCGGTTTTTCCGGTTCCAGCGGGGCCTGCAGGCGCACCACTCATGGTTAGATGAAGGGACTGGGTCAGAGTGATGTAACACCTGAGCGAAGAGGAAATATAAAGAAACATCTATAGTTACTTGTAGCATTAAGATGGAGAAAGATCCCGTTTCAATAACGATGTCTTCTCAAGAATTGGCCAAGCATGTTAAAACAAATGAAAGAAGTAATCAGCTACTGACAGAATGACAGCTGATCCGTTGCTTTTACTTTCAAGACCAGAGAGAACCAGGCACATACACAGAAGCCAGTTAACGTTATTATGATATGACAAAGAACTGAATCCGATGTTGAGGTTCCTTCAGAACAACTCATTTGTAGACCTTTTCATGGTTAAACAAGAAACTATTCACCGCAAAAAGATGTCTGGAGAGTAACGCAAAACAATCAGAAGATCGCACACTCCAAAACAACCGCGTTTTCTCTAAGAATCAGAATCTATTGAACTGACCGCAAATCAACGATATTTACCTGTCAGTCAAAGGCGTAATCACCAAACGAGGCGTGTTTCCAAGATACTCGTAGGAATACTTGAACTGAGCGTCACAGATGTTAGCAAAGCAGTGAGCTATGGAGTCATCCCAGCGATGTCTGAGCTGACTGAGCCATAGGAAAGCCAGTGCGTTCTCTACTTTCTGATGGATCAACTTGGCCACCACATCTCGAGCGTGCACATCGATTGTACAGATGGTCATGATCTTCTGGCGATCGCCTTTAGACAAGTCGCCGATTAACATGTTGATCAATGTTGTAAGCTGGGCAACCTGAGAAGAAAGGGATAAATCAGAGGTTAAACTCACCAGAATTACACAATATTTAATTCACTAAGATACTTGGACGACGAGGATTGGCAAGAAACTGTACTGTCTACTGATTCACGAGCGCTCCTCTCTCATTGAGAGAGAGAGGAACAGCGCGGGATGGCGTACATGGGATGAGGCCAGAGCTGCTGCAGCCAACAGAGAAAATTGGAGGCATTCTGTGGAGGCCTTATGTGCCACGAGGCACAAAGAAGCTAGGTAACAGGTAACAGGTACTGATTCACGAGCGCTCGCATTGCTAAGCTCGATTTCCGTCGCTCTCTTGATTCCGGTCTATGTTCCTCCCCGAGAAGGAGCCACGGGGGAGGAACGCGGGCTCTTTTTCCGAACAGCGGCCTGTAATCGAGCCTATCGCATTGTCTGATCCACAATGACTTCTAAATTCTTAGAGCGGGAAATGCCAACTAATTTTAAAACAGAAACATGCTCTGAATGGATTGCGTTTGTGTCTCATCCAAAGTAGTTTGCAAGCACTGAGTTTGTTGCACCACAAGGAAAGCAGCGAACCATCAGTCACGTTAACTCAAATATAATTTATACACCTTTCAACGGCTTACTAATGTTAACCGACGAAATTACGAGTCGTTATGCAATTTTTCTTATCTCTCTTTAAATTTTCGTTACTAACATATAACGGAGTGATCCAGTGTAACCTATTCCACTCTATATGACTTTTCATTTACAACGTTGTAAGACCGTGAAAAAAATTACTTCTTGTGATAAAGCCCGACGCTTGGATATTTTCTTTATACAATACACATGCCACGAAATCACCAAAACAGTATTTTTACGGAGCCTAGTACCTGTTTCTTGTAGTAGTCTTTCAGCGCATTCTCGTATCCCTCTTCCAGTCTTCCAAAAGCTAGCACGACTTCTGTGGTCCACCAGATTTGAGTTCCACACAGGGCGACCTGGGCCGGGTAGTCAAACAGCCACTGGTCACGTGGTTTCTCTTCATAAGATACAACAGCTTCTGAAAGCTCATGTTTGACTGTAGCGCGCATGGCATCCATTACACGGTTTAACCACACTTCAACCTGGAACAGAAGAAACATAAACAAATCAGTGCAATCACATTCTCTTGTTTAGACTGAAACATAATGAACATCTTAAGCCGCGTCCACACGACGCAGTAGAAATTTGAAAACGGCACTTTACTCTGACGAATCAAATGTTTTCCGTTCACCCTAAGGCGGAGAAATTTGGAAACGAAACAATCGCCGGTCCTTTTGGATTTGTCTGAGGAAACTCGGGTAGGGAAATCACATTATTATCGTAACGCCATCGTTTTAGAAAAGCTTCCTTTTCAAAATGTTTTCCGTCCACACGAAAACGCAAAGCCAGCATTTGGTTTCAAGAGCGTTTTCGAAAAGCTCCGTTTTCCTGACGGATTAGTGTGGACGGCAGGCCAAAAGCTGCGTGTTCAAATTTCTCCGGCGAAGCGTGGACGGAGTCTTAAAGAATCATTGTTGTGCGAACGCACGCAAATATAGCAATTTTCCATTGACTTTTGATTTTCTAGGCAAAACAGTTGTGCTCAAAACTCAAAACAATACGTGTACCAAGTTGTTTATTCAACCATTCTGAAGTGAAAACAGAATCTCAGACTCAAAACATCTAGAGAAATAAACCCAAATATTTTTTTTCACCTGTCCTGAACAGTCGCAAGGCTTGTTGAAGTCCACATATTCCCCTTCTTTACTGTACATCCCAACAGCTTCCTTAGTGGGGTTACCATCAGCATCATCTACAAACTTCAGTTTTGCCATGTTGTCAAACAACTTGGACAAGTGACGACTAACCTATGAAACACAACAACAAAATAAAAGTTAAAATTCTCCTAACTTAGTACTTTGCAATTGTATCAATGTAAATTGTAAGAATTTTGTCATACATTGTGACAATACTTAGTAGTCGATGATAGCTGCTTTCGTCTTCACTAATTTGCGTGACATGTCGAAATTTGGAACTGTAAAGGGTCCATCACTACAACTTTTTGGTTATCTCATTGGATGGTTTGCAGAACAAAGCACCCAAAAGAAAAGTTCATTCATGTTTGAACTTTTTTAGCCCTAACCTTTCGTTACGACTGCTGGTACGAGAGGGGAAAAAAAACTTTTAGGCTCTAAAAGTTTACCTCAATAGGCTGGTTGCCAAAGCACCCAAAAGAAAAGTTCATTCATGTTTGAACTTGTTTAGCCCTAACCGTTCGTTACGACTGCTGGTACGAGAGGGGAAAAAAACTTTTAGGCTCTAAAAGTTTACCTCAATAGGCTGGTTGCCTTTAGAGAGAATATCCAGCAAGTCTGCAGACGACACGAAATAAAAGCGCGGGAAAGCAAGACGTTTGGTTTCCAGATACTCGGCCAAGGCCTTCTCACAAAGTGACAACCTACAAGAAAAAACAATGTTATTACGTATTGCATTGCTTTTGCTGGGCGCTGAGATGGGAAAAGAAAATTTACACAGCGTTTTCTGGCGCGGCAAACAGAGCAATGATGCTTTATTTTTTGGGCTAAGCCGAATCAATCATGAATTCCCTCACTCGAGTTTCCCTGCTTTTTTCACAAGTTACTGATTTCTGCTTAGATTTTTGATTGGTACCTTACATTATTTTTCACCTTTGGGATCATTTGAGCGAAACAATCATCACGCACCTTTCTTGCAAGTTTTCCAGCTTCTCATACAGTCCTTCTCTGTTGCAGCAATTGACCACGTTCGGGATTTCCGCGGCCTCTTTCATCAGTTCCTATAAAAATAGTACGGGCGAATTGTAATTGTACGGCAGTCTTTATCCTGTTTAAAGAACACTAAATTTTGCACTTGAGTTTATAACTGCAATGGTAAACGGTTTCAGCCCATTGCAATTTTGCCAAAATCAATTTTACTTGACAAAAAAAGAAGCAGCACTTAAAATATCTCTTTTATTTATAATCAATAAACGGTTAAAATGTCACTCCTTTGCGCTCACCTTAAAGTCAACATCAATTCCGTCGAATCGCTTGGAGTCCTCAGGTAACTGGTTACGAATATCTTCAGAGCCAATGAAGATACTCTCCAAATGAGACCATGTTCTTTGCACCTCAAACCAAATGGAGATCACAGAGTCTGACACAGACAGCTTCTTCTGCCACAAAGAGACTTCTTCCAAGAAATGCCCGATGTACTTGGATGTGATTAGATTTTGAAGTTGCACCTAGGAAAAAAGAAATATTCATTCACTTAATTAATCCATCAAATACTCGAAACAGATGGAGAAAAGCAGACACTTTTCGTCATCTTTTTGCCGGTTTAGAAAACTTATCAGCCAATGAAAGGAGTTACCAGCGCACGTGTAACTTGTTGGCACGTGGTTGCTTTGAGGCAGTTTGAGCTTCAAATATCAATTAATTGGAAAACCAACAAAAGGGCGACCTGTTTGTCCAGAATCAAAGGAACGATGAATTTTTACTGCAGATGTTTAAAAGACAATCGGAAGTGACATACTAAACAGGAAAATTGTTATAGGCATTATGTTAAATGCTATAGACTGATAGCCGAAAGCTTATGTTTTAATCTTTTTAACCAGAGAACGTTTTTAAATACTTTTTAAAGGAAAAACGTTATTGCAAAAATCACTGTAGATTATTGTTACCTGGTTATCCTCAAGAGTTTCAATCAATTCCTCGCTTGATTTGAGTAATGGGATACCGGTTCTTAAGTGGCTTTCATATTCAAACTCCATCTGCGACCAAGTGACATCCAATTCCTTCAGCACTTTTTCCATTCCCAGTTCTTTTGTGGCCTTGTCCACGATTCCACGGACTTCGTCTTCAAAGTTGTGCAGGTTGAGGGCCAGCAGATCAGCTAAGTTTGTATCGTCATTCATCACAAATTTCACCTGAAAGGGAACAGCATAGTCAAGGGCTTTCAACTTTTGAGATGTTTTCTCGTGTTTTCCAAAACTATGTGTGACTAATAGATTTGATTTTGGTTTCACGTCCAACAAAGTCACGCAACATAACGTGCAATTTACAAATAAGTCAAGTGTAATATCAACCTTTTAATTTTTGTCTAAGAGGGCACGGCAACGAATCCTACAATCTGATTGGTTCTTAGCGCAGTCCGGATTTTCCTATCGCTGACCACAGTCGACTGCGACCTCGGACTTTGAAAATTCTGCCTCAGGTCTGCGGCCTCGGGCAGCATTTTCAAGACCTCGGTCACAGTTTTTCACTATACCGGCCTAAATAACAAATAATCTGACCTGTCAAATGGTGGCAACGTTTGTGCACAAAACACTACCTCGGAATTGAAATGGAATTGAAACTGGAATGGAAATGCAACTCACTTTAGTGGCCTGCATAAGCTGTTGCCAATGGCGGTCCCTGATGGCCGGATTCTGCAACTCTCCCACAGCCCTTAATGACGTCACCATGTTCTTGACAGTAGAGTCCAGTCCAGTGAACGCGTCCCATGCACGCATCTCTTTGTCAAGTCCCCGGATCTCCTTCACAAACCTCTTACACTCCATTTCCATGTTCTCTACGTTGATGTCGGCCCACAGTGTGTACTTCCACTCGTCAATGCTGCTTAAAACAACTTCAATCATGTCCCAGAGCTGTTTGAGAAGGGACACTTCACGGCGGCATGCACGAAGCTGTTTGTAATCAGGGAAGTTCACCTCAAATAGGCCGGCGGACTCGGAAAGCGCGTTCATTTCTTCCTCCATGGCACAGATCTGGAAGTTGGCCTGTGAACACAAAAACAATATCTGGTAAATTGATGA